GAGATCATTGCACTTTGAGGGTGCAAAACAAAGCTCAAGGCGGTTGACAACCAGTGTTAATCGGTACAGTGCTGCTCGGCACATTTGGAAACTGTCACAGATGAAAGCAATGTCATCAGCGTACTCTAAATCAAGAAGTCGTTTACCTGGGAGCAACTCCACATCTTCTAATTCGTGTCGTGTGAACGCAATCTCCATCACTTCCTCAATAGCGAAGTTGAAGAGGAAAGGTGACAGCGGGCATCCTTGTCTTACACCGCTGGAGATACTGAGGGACGGCGACAGCTTGCCGTAAGTTCTCACTCCGCTCGAGCTACGCGCGTACAGCGCTCGGATAATATTTACATATTTCCCGGGCACACCTTTCCTTAGCAGACCATCCAAAATGGCACTTTTGATGTCGAAAAACAAAACGGTGGGCCGCCAATATATGTAACGATGCTCCAATAACTGACGCAATATGAATGTGGTCGATGCATCCCCGACTTCAACGAAACCAGGCTTGCTCCTTAAGAATCTGGCTTTCATGAGCGTCAGTCAGTCTGTGAAAGATTACAGAGGTAAGTAATTTGGAGACGATGGGGATCAGACTGATTCCTCCATGGTTGCCGCATTCTTAGGGCGAGCTTCTTTTGATGATCGGCATATTAACGGAGCGCCTCCAGTCGGTTGGGACAGTTTCCTGCTCCCACAGTTTCACTAGTAACTCGTGTAAATCATCAACAAGAACATGGCCTCCGAATTTGAAGAGGGTTAGATAAAGATCATCTGGTTCTGCAGCTTTATTCAACTTCAACAGTCCGATCTCACGTTCGACTGAGCGAAAGGGCAAATCCAAAGGAACAGCCCAGGGAGGAAGGCAATCATTGGCCAATGAGGAGTCTAACAATTTCGGCAGATTAAATTGCTTTTCCAAATGTCTAGCACAATGCTCCAAGCGTTTTGACAAGTTGTGAATAGGCTGTCCACTTTCGTCATGAATAGTTTCAGTAGCATCAGGTCTCCTGCTGCTTATTTTCCGTGTCAGACTGAATAACCTCCGAGGGCAGCGCACGATGAGAACTCCAAGATTCGTAGTCAGTCAGACGCAGAGTATATGACGATTCAGTGCTGGAAGCGTTAGGTGAATGGCCATCTGTGATCACCGAGTGAGAAGTGCTTAGGTCCGCCAGCTGGTGTTTGGCAAGAACCCCCCACGGTGTCTCACCGGAGTACCTGTTAAAAATGAACCGCTTACGTTGGCTAGATCATGTGGTCCGTACGCCCGTTGACCGCCTTCCTCACCGTGCACGATATCCCGTTATTGCATCCAGTTGGACGAAAACTCTTGGTTAGTCTATGAAGTAGCATAAAGTCATGGAGAAAGTGACTGAAAAACTCGGTCAGGTTGATGCGTGCCGTCATCGTGGATGAGCCACATCAGTGTTTGGAGACCATCGAATATGGCGCAGTCAGTGGCACTCCAGTGTTCGGTTCCTTGAATCCAGTTGACTTCATATAAAAGGTTTTCCTTCACAGATTTCAAAACAGCAAGGGAGAATATTTCGACAAGTTAGTCTGAACTCAGTTATGCCATGTATTCTCGTCAGCTTGTTCGATCGCCCGACACATACTTGACTGCCGCATGTGTGAGAACCCGCGTGAGTCATTCAGGATAATCAATCGACAAGGCCCCGCCCGTCTGCTTCAATTCGGGGAGGCTTCGACAGTATGACGGCTGAAACCCTGTTTGAGTAAACAGACCGAGTTCGTCACCAGTCTTACTTTGCTTTGTTGCAACTGGTGGCCACATTCATCTAGGCGGAATGCTGGCCAGCGACAGATGAACTTTGACCATCTCCGATTCACCAATGACGTCACACCTTGTTTGCCTTTGTATGCAACCCATCCACTCCACTAATGTATGTAAACGGTTGGCGAGAATATGTAGAATGACAGAACTCAGATTGCCCTGTCGAGATGTTATTTCTTGCGTCATCGGTTAATATTTCGCCCAAAAAAAACTTTACCCACTTCTTCCTTGACTCCCTTTTTCTTGCATTCTGTTTAGGTTCTAATCCATTCTCTCAACATTGCTACTTAATGTTGCCGCGGCAAGTGAATCAACCGCAGTTCAGTATCCAAACGATAGTTGTTTAACTAAGCTGAACTGCATCGGTGAGGGGATCCGCTGTGTGGGAGTTATGTGCTTTTCGACAGCCTAATACGAGCCAGGGGCCTTGCCGCATAACTTGCTCCACGAAGGCAGAAGAGTGGGTGAATGCACATTGATTTTATGCGGGCATGCTTCTGATTTCGTTATTATGAACATCAACAGCAGTATATCAGTCATTTGAACTGATGCTTCGCTACCATACAACCATGAGGACCTAAGGAATAAAGAATAATAAGCGGGAGAGAAGGGGGACTTACCGGAAAACCTTAATGCCCTAAGCAAACAGTCAGGGTCAAGGCGCCTACACCTTGTGTTAGCAACATATCGTCACAGACAAGGCTGCATCAGCGCGACTGCTTCCTTGCGGTTTTTACTACTCTGCGTCATAATCAGTCAATACCCTGCGGATAAGTCATCACTGAGCATACTCTAAACAGTCAGTCTGACTGAGAGAAGACGTGCCACTGGTGTCGGTTGCGAGCCATGTCCTGTAAAGTCACCAGCCAAGCACAAGGCGGGTCACGTCGACTCCAGCCCGGAAGGCGAGACGGATCAACGGCACCCGGTGAACTGCGCCTGTTGGTAAACTGCACCCGGGATTGTGTGAAAGACGGCGAGCGGGAAGTTCCGTAGATATTTCATTCCCATACTAATGCCGTAGATAGGTCTGTTTTCTTTTCGCTGCACTGATTGCAGAAGCCTTCTTGTGTTGTTCCCGCTTGTCTTGAATGAAACTATCTATGTGGTCACTTTGGTTCAGCATTCAGTGCATGTTCCGTTTTTGGCCCCTTCTCTATCACAGAGCGTCTAGCGTCATATAATAACGAAGTATTGGCGCTAGCTGATGATGATGAACATGGTGTCAAGCATCACTCCCAAACTAACGAATCAAAATGAACATCGGTGCTTGTAAGATTCCCGAGCTTCAGCGGTTTCTCAGACCATTGTTGCTTTAATCATATACAATAGAGCCTGTGTAGTAACATGAGCATTGTAGGATGCACAGTTTATCCTCTTTGATACTTGCCACCGCAATTCACATGCAATCAGATAACAGCGTCTCGGAGTGATGAACGTATCTACCTGTCATGGAGACAATTGATTGAGCCCTTCCGTCGCGTGGCAGCTAGCGCCGTTATGGTGTACAGCTGACACATTATTATTATTTTTATTATCCGTCGCCTTGACAGAGATAATTAGGAGCGAAGATAGTATCGCTCGATTTCGCCTTCGTTCTTCCCACTAATGCTCAGTATTTTTAGACTGTGATCAACTCATCGGTGACCAGTAGAGCGACTGAGGACAACTAATACCAGCGTACCTGGATTCCGACGGGGCTAACGCACGTCCAGGTATACAAGTCATAACAGCTTGATCGACGGATAACATCATTCCTGCCAACATCTGTCAGAAACCTGTCCAGGTCGGTTCCAGTTTATCAGCTAATACCCGTGCGATGGGTCCATTTGCTACGTCGCCAAAATGGTAATGATAGGAATTTCCAATGTTACTCGTTTTCATCATTACACTTCACGACCAGCTTCATCACACATCCTTGTTTAGACGCGTTGAAAGTTGAATCCGGTACGCAGCAGTTGACTACCTTAGCCTTGGTTACTAAGGTCATCACTGTTTCGCGAGCAGCGCTTCACACTTAGTTATGGGTTCCGTGTTGCGTTTTGGAGTGTCCGCTGTGAATACTGAGAATCGAGAGCGAGAAGATAAAAATACGCGTCGCTCCATCGAAGGTGGATCGAGCACATGCGTGGAATCACGTCACTGATACCTACGCGGTGGCAGCATACTGCAGCTGCACTGCATCTGTTCCGGGTGCGAGACACTCCCTGTACCTGTAGTCCAAAAAGTGGGCGTCAAGGAATAGCTTAAATTCCGACACCGATTTCGCCTCTACTAGCGTCTCTAGCAACTTGTTCCATTATTTCACCACATGTCGCTTGAAGCATAAAAGGTGCGCCATGCGCTTTAAATCCGATCTCACTAGTTTGTACTGGTGTTCCCGTGTGTTGCTTGGTGCGCGAACGTGCAGCAACGGCCTTAACATAGGGAAGTGGCCCAGATGCAGTATCCGGTGCATCATAATGAGATGAACTCGAAGCCGACGATATGACATGGTGTAAAGCCCTAGTCTCCTACATCAGTACTCGTACAACATACCCCGTAAACTGGGGATGAGCCGGGTAGCTACACGCTAGACTCGTTCCAGTCTCTTCAGCTCACCTCGGATAATAGGCGAATGAGCCGTACGCAAGCACCGGTCTTATCATGGAAGAGAACAGACGGTGGCAAATCTCTTCAGACCAAGTGCAGAAGCTGCGTCTAAGTGCCCAAAGCAGGCGTCTGTTAGTGTTGCCGACAGACTTCAGATCACAGCGTGAGTACGCCTAGATCCTTTACGGGACTGATGGAATGCAGCGGGTAGCCGGCAAGGGTGTACGCACGCCCATTATCACTGCTCCCCAAGCACATAAACGAGGACTTGGCCGCGTTGACTGATAGGTCAACTTCTGCAGACCACCGGGATAGGCGGTCAAGGTCCTGCTGAAGGACGTAACAGTCGTTTGAAAACAGTGCACAAGGCGAGCGGAAAAGCCGAGCAACTTCGTTTATGAAGTTGGATTGTGGCAGAAATCTACTTTAGAGCAAACTTCGATCATTCCGAACAGTTAAGTTGTATCCGAAGCATAGGGATAACGGAGATGCTCGATTCCAACACTGAACTAATTCAGTGGATCACGCAACTATCTCTATGGTCCTACAAAGTCCATAAATCTGTGATCTCTAGGTACACGGTCTACATCTGACTTTAATCCACGGAAGACAATAGCAACAATCAGGAGAACAATGTATGTTGAAAAACCTATTGAAATACAAAGCGTTAAAGTCCTCTCTGACTGAATGATGAAGCAAGAGGTCAAAAAAGAGAGCTTTGGTATCTATGTACAATCGCAGTAAAGCAGTGTAAAATGTAGAGATAACCATGAATTAACTGGGAGAGGACACTCGAAAATTAGCCAAAAAGGAACCTAAAGTTGCTTGTCGGAGCCTGTGATTGTCCGAAAATTGGCTGCCTAGAGGTACCTCAAATGCACTGTTACACGGGAAAAGGGATAGTCGTCTGCGCGATACGTTAATCCGCCGTTGAACTGTGTCCGGCGATGTCTTTTTCACGGTCATCTGCGTGAATCGGCGTTGTCTGTGCCGAGGTTGAGTCGCACTAGATCGACCACGTGTTTCAAACTGGCGATTGTTCCACACGAGTGTGAGAATGGGCTTGGGATTTGGAGTGGGTGTGCTTGGAGGGGAATCGGTAGCCACAGAAATCGTCGCTACTCGCCTTGCAGAACGTCTCATTGATCTCATTTGTTGTGGAGTGGAATCGCCTTCTGGGACCACGGTGTGTGTTGCAGAAAGGGAACTTGTTTCGTTGGATTCTGATATCCTTGGAGAATCACTGTCACTAGTTGTATCACTAACTCCCAATTCGGCAAAGGCGCCCGGCTCAAGCTCCCAGGCGGCATCCCTGAAATAGGAAAAGAAATAGTACTCACGACGGCCAACACTTGTATCTCATGCCAAGATACGAAAATGTGAAAAAGATTTGTTAATCAGCTGCTGTAGCTCGGAAAACACTAGTGTTCAATCTGAACGGGAAAAGAGGTGGGAAATCTGGCATTGTGTGGTCAGTGGAAACAAACGCAGTCGTGAGGTAATTACCCTATCTGAACTGGCCCGAAAGGCGAGACTCATCACTAACATTACCGCCAACTCATAAGGTTACTTCGAGCGAAGATAGTCTCGGACAAGACCCAGGAGTGGGAGCAAATCGGAAAAGAATTCATACGGTGATGATTCGTTCAAAACCGAGATAACTGCTCCGGGGGGAAAGCTAGAGCAATCTTACCTGCACACTTCATCCATCTCTGTGAGCAACTGTATAAGCGATCGAGAATCTTAGACTGGATAGCCTATTGCGTCGTTTTCTACCGTATAAAGACGCAGCTGGAGCATCTTGAGCCGATTTAAAGGATAATATACCACATAAATAGTAGGTAATTAATAAGCTCTTCTCCAAAACTTACGTTACGCATGACGGCATACGTGCTAGTATACTGAGGTTTAGGCAATTGATCAAGTGGGCTTTATTGAGCACAACGTGATTCGTTTCAAATTAGGACATGCCACCAGACACGAAATCGACAGTCAATGAATGGAAGGTCTGCTAAACCCGGAGGTGGATAGGATCAGATCTCGTTAGTCTAAGCGAAACTCTTTATCGTGTCATCGATACCACTGCATTAATCCACGAAACGATTGAGATTGAGATACATGGTGCGATTAAATCGTGGAGAGGACGCTGTGTGTGAGACCAGAATACAAGCATGTAAAGCGTCGTAGTTAGGAGTGGAATAAAATAGGGAGACAATGTAGAACTCACCGATCTGGAACCCACACACCAGCGTCTAAAACAGAAGGGATGAATATTTGTCTATCTGCACAATAGGGACACTTTAAGTAATGCAGGGCAGCGGAGACTGCGTAGCCGTTGATACAATCCCTGTGCATCCAAGCTTTGGGACAGCAAGCGCCATGTACTGTGTCGTGGAGCCATGATTGATAGACTGAAAGTTGGCGCGAAGTAGGCAAAGTAGACAGAAAGCTCTTTAACCAATCCGGCAGGTGAATCAATGAGGGTGCCAATGAGAAGACAGTGTCAGGCGATGGTTGGGGAGACTCGCAGACTTGTTCTTCAGACACTGGATCGGACACTTCCCAAGATGAACTGCTGGATGAAGAAATGGGAACAAACAATCAGACGGTGCACGCCAACTGGGGCGAGCTTCCTCACACACTCATAGTGCAATTATCAAGCGGAAAGGAGGAATAATCGATTTTAACTAGCAAAATGTTACGTACCGATAACTCCGCTTCGCAGCAAATCGTTGTGTGTCATTCCCCAACAGTCAACTAAACGGATCGTTCATTAGAGGTATAGCAACCACAGCGACTCCAATGCGAGGTCACGAGTGAGCGCTGGGTTGCTGTGCTGACGTAAATCCCCTCCAGCCACAAGTTTAGTATAGGACAAGTGTAATGAAAAATAAGGCGGTGGACGAATCGCCCTGTTACTTTCAGGACGTTACATTAATCGGGAAGGACGGGTCTATCGGAGCCGCAAACTTGGCATACGCAACAAGTCCCGTCACCAATTCTTAAGTTCGAGCCGAAATCATATCAAAATCTTGGTCCACAACCAGTGTGAATTGCTAATGAAAAGATGATTTATGTGGGGGTCTAATCAGATCTACGGGGCGCCAGCCAAATGATTTGTCACTTGATAAGTTGGATGCACTCATCGCTAACTAGAACCATAAGCAACTTTAGCAAATCAGACATTTTAAACGCAATGTCTGAATCAATCACCATCAAAGTGGTCGTGGCTCATTTCAAAGTATATCGCTGTGACAATTCGGGTCACTTATCTTGACTGAAGCAGAAGTTGCAAGTCGAACGCGGCTGAATCATCTCACCACAGATCTTTGTGACACTGGAAAGGAGGGAAAAGGGGAATAGGGAAAATGCAAGTTTAACTAATGGGACTGGAACGTTAAACAGCCCAATGCTAAGAGTCCAAGCACGGGATTGTTAGTGACCTCACTAGTGTCACGCTAGATAAAATTCACTAGCAATGGTCCGATCCACAAAGACAGTATGTACCTAACGACTAAATCCCTCTCAATTATTTATGCCTGTTTCCCCCCATGTCATCGGGTGGCTATCCTACTATTTCAACCAAGTAGATGCAGGAACAGCAATCATTGCATTCCAAAGTGAATAGTAGGCATACGAAGGACGTGATCTAACCAAAGTAGACGACTGAGATTTGGCAAATATTCCAGTGTGGCTTCTGATGGTCTCTTCACAAACAATAACTGGTGAACATCAGTACCACACACTCGGTATTCCGAGTGCGATATATAAACATACTCTACAAACCAATAGTAGTCATTGGATTTGGCTCATAATGCATCCAGGGGATGCGCACTCCTGATGAAATCCATCAGGATGTAAAGAACGTCTGGAACTTTTCCGGATTGCTACCAATCTATCTGGCTTGCAAGCTACTGCAATGAATTCAAACCCATTACTCGGTATTCCTCTAATGTCCTCAGAGCGAAGTGGCTGTGGGTCCAATTTAGACAATCAAACCGGCTGCAGTGAGGTACAATGCACTCTATTCTTAACAGATATACCCATGTGCAGTCACCTTTAAATGTGACTAAACGTTGAAAAGCGACGCGGATCCTAATGCTGGACGCGGTGGCACGTGCACAACTGGACCGACCAACCACTTCCCGTGGCCGTTTGGTGATCACCAAAACAGGTGGCGTCTCGACCCAGCCCTGCGACATGCTTCCGTGCCCTGAAACCGGGAGCAGTTTGTGAAGCACGTCAAAAGAACGAAATCGTCAACACTGCGAATTTCAGCCGTTCTGCGGTGGAACCTGTTGTGTTTCCACTGACAGCACGGATAACCGATACGCTCTCGGGTCACAATTCAGCCACTTCCCAAAATCAGAAAGCAGAGGCCTCCGGCGGAAATTGTATGGAGCGCCCGGAAGACAATATATACAACCAAAATATGGGGTCAAAATAAACAATTAACCAGAGAATGACCTAATTGAAAGTTCCTGTATTCAAGCAACTACTAGATGTGCTTGTTGGCTGTTCAATTAGTGCGCTCACTGTGGGGCTTCAAGTCCGTTCATTCTCATTGGTCCATTTCTAGATGAAACGATAACATTGGTCTACTCTCATCGGTTAGCCAATCAGCATCAGGTGACATGCGACCAATCTTCTCCGGGCTGCTTTGGAGAGACTTGGCTTCAAGGGCTGCTATGGACAGACTCCCTTAACAGAACCTCTATTCCCATTGAAGCAGTCGTCTTAAAACTATCTCGAACACAAAATGTAGGAGGGCAAGGATGATCATGGCACTACGTTCTGTGATACGCGGATCTTGTCAGCTATTCTGTTTTGCTTTCAAAATTCTTTCCTGGTGGACTTCCCAGCATTGTTTCGTTGAAATTTCGATACGATTTAGTTTCATCTCAGCTTCTAGATTTTCGATCTTCCGAACCTTGCACATGCACGCAGTTTATCAGATCTGCAACGATAAATTAGCATTTAATACTCAAGTTGGGATTTGGACATCTTTGTCCACTCACCTCATTAAGGCTATAGGGTCCTCACGTCCCAGTTTCTTTGCGCACATTCGTCTCGGTGTATTTTGAAATCCCTGTCTCACCTGCTAGTCGCGTCGTTATGGCTTTCGAAAAAATGGCTAAATCCAAACACTTAACAACATCGAAAGTTTCGTCAGATCCGTTGCGGATTTGTGAAAATGCGTTGGACGATCCACTAGCTAAAGCGCTCGATAAAGTAAATAATCTAAAAAATTACCTGGCTACGCCTAAGCATGAGATAACTACCATTAACGATTTTAATATGCCGCATCACGTGTGGCACAGACTATATTAAAACTCTGTGAATGGTTAGATTCCAAATGTGGGTGTTTACACCAGGATACCCAGCGTTCTCAGTGCATCCTTGACCCACGGCATAGCGTGCACATTTGTCAGTATGCTGAGTAACAACATACCCAGCAGTGATCACACAAAATAGTCAAGCTCACATACGATGTGTTTAGAACAAATAAATGTATGCCAAGTTCACTGGTTCCATATCGACCTAACAAAAATGCCTCAACTAGGACACTTACTCTATGCCTTTACAATCGATAGATTAAGATAAATTTTCTAGCATTGAGCATTGATATTGCTACCCACCTTATGTATACCAACCTGGACTACTGCCTAAACGTGTTCACAACAATCAAGCGCAGTAGTAGTGATCTTACCACCAACTCTGACGCTCCCAAATCTGGCGACTACTAAACTAAAGGTCCACCATTCCAAATACAATAAGACCAAAGACTACATCTCGATGTGCATTAACGAGTCCTAGCTATCATTCGTAACCCCAGATGACCACACCTGGTCTGTTAGAAGAAAGAGAAACGCTAAACTTCAACAAAAAATCCCAGGCCTTATTCCGACTGATGAGGCATACAGGTAGTAAGGACAAGGCGTCCATGTCACCCCCTTACAGAACAGTAGTCAACGACCCAGTTGATTTATGTGAGATTGCTAGCAATACTTTTCGTTGGTCCTTTACTTGGTCGACGTGGTTGTTCCAACTGCGCTCTCTAATTCACACACGATAACCTGCATACCATTGACTTTCAGATACACATCCGGGTGGTCCGGTTGCCCAAGAAAGCTCACTAGCCTGATTCTGATACTTTCCATCCCGTCTTGTTTGTATTGGGTAGTCCTGATACACCACTTTATGAACAACTGCACATTCGCTGTACTCTGGGAACGTACGGTAGTTTTGCTGAGACACGAACGTAGCAATCGGAAAGACGTTGACAACTATTGCCCAGTAGCGACACACTGATTGCTCCAAGAATGATGAGCTGTCAAAGAGGGAATGCTTGACTTCCTGTTGTCCCGCGATTTAGGGCTGGATTCTGTTAGACATGCCACTTTCGGTTTGTAAATCACGAGATACTAAAAATAGACCCCGTTCGTCGTGAGTATCGTTTACCTCGGTATGAAAACATTCGACAGAAGCTCTCAGTCCGGTTTGTTAAAAGCTTACATCTTTTGGTATTTCAACTTAACTGTTTCTGCCATCCTTACCGATCGGTTAAATAATACGGGATCAGACCAGTCATCAGTGGTCTTTCCGAGTAGGGTTTTACGCCCACTATTGTTTCCACTCCATGTGGAACTATTCCAGTTCGCCGATGACATAAAAGCCGTCTTCCTCGATATGGCTGACTTAAACTAGGATCGAAAATATACTCAAGGCTCTCGAACGCTGGTGTGACACGTAAAAAATGGGACTCAAATTCATATCGCTAATGCAGACTAAACGGTCCCCTGTTTAGCATCCCCCTTCAATCACGATCTCACTTGTTAGGCATAATACGAGTCTCTTTTACGGCAGCCAGCTGTTAGCTCTCTGGAACGATGTCCATCCGTTACTGGGGACTCAGCGGGCGTGCCACTGTTTTCCTTTTCTTTTCTTTTGTATTGCGGCACAATAGCTGAGGTGTTTTCCGCCTCCAGCTAACGTGTAATGATGATGATGGTGCACCACTTGCTAACTGACAAACACTCTGTGATCTGGGTGCACACTAATCGTGCTCCAATTTTTATGTGCAAGCTAAAGCTCTTATCAGTTACGACTGCAGATTTATGATTCATGGATCATGATTAGAAACAAATACCTTAAAAGTGCTGACAACAGTGTTCCTAAGGTGGAGTTCCGGTAGGCCCGTATGAAAGTAACAGCAATACGCTTGTACGTCGTAGACATTTCGCAGCAACGCAGTCACTAATAGTCGCGTTCGGGTCAGGGACGCCGCGAACTTGAGCGCACTAAGTGGGATCGAGCTAATGGCCTGTGGTGTACAAGTCCGATGTCTGAATCACGGCCACCACTCGAGATCCTTGCAACCAAAATGGCTGTGGCATTTTAAGTAGCCATCAAACCATCGCAAGAGAATTTATGAGGTATTAATACTTACTTGGATACTGATAAACTCCGCACTTCGCAGGTTACTGAAACTCGAATACGTTTTGGAGTGGTCATGGCCACGCAGGATCGTCTAGGAAGTTGCCGAACAGCGATAGGAGTTGTAGCTGGCCTTAACGTTGGACTGCGTTTGAGTTTCGGTTTGTTATCAAGGTGCAATTCCTCGGGGACTATGGAGAACAAACAGATGCAGCAGGACGGAGCTTCCGAGGGCTGTTTCAACCATGCATCGAGATTCTGCAAAAAAGAGATGAGAGATAATCAAAATGAAACCGAACTGGTAAAGTAAGATACTACATCGTACAAACACTGCTAACACGCAACCGGTCTCATTCGGTTTATCGCCATTGTCTCGGTGAATGGCAAGAACCGCGAACTAGGTTGACGCGGTAGAATCCGGAACACCAAGACATGGTTAATCCGATGATGGGACTCCCAAACGTGCCTGCCTATTGATGACGCTAGTGGCTTACGTGATCTCAGAGCACTAGATGCAGGTAGGTTGATCTCACGTTGAACACATTTGGGCATGTGTTCCTTCACTCTGGAATTCAAAGCCGTCTCGGTTCTGCCTATGTAACTGACTCCGCAGTCACATATAAATACTCATTCTCATCAGCCGAAAGAATACCGGGCTCGTTAGGCGGTCCGTATACTGAAAGTCCACATGGTCTGAGCAATAACTGCGCTTTAGGAGCTTCACACCAGTGGGTTACAGAGGTGCGCTGGTGAAGACCGTTTTCCTGTGCCAGGAGGATTTGTTCAAGTGATTGTCTGGCTGGGGAGATGGAGAACCAGAACACTTGTAGAAAACAGTTACCCTAAACGTTTGATCGATAAACAGTCAGGTCAAGCAGCCGAAAGAAACGGTGTTGACAGCACCCAAGAAAAAGTTTTACATTGAACTTCCATTTAAGAGCAACGCCGCCACAATGAGGACAATCAAGCGTTTATTGTCTTCCATCCAGCAAACCTACTACGCTGCTCACACGGTCGTAAGTAACAGAACCCAGAAGCTGTTGTTTCTTTCAGTCAAAGAAGAGGAACCCATCGGCACCAAATCCCATTGCGTTTACCAAGTTGTATGCGACTGCGGCGTCTGTTACACGGGCCGAACCGCGAGGGTTTTGAATTCCAGAGTGAAGGAACACATGTTCAACTGGGTTAAACATAAGGTCAACCAACCCGCCTCTAGTGCTCCGTGCTCACGTAAGCCACCAGCGTCATCAATAGGCAGACGCATATGGGAGTCCTAACATCGGGCTAACCATGTCCCGACGTTCCGGATTCTACCCCGTCATTCTGGTTCGCGTTTCTTGCGATTCACCGAGGTTGTGGCGACAAACCGAATAAGGCCGGCTCTATGTGTGCAAAAACAAATGGCTGCCGCGGTCCTAGGGCTATAGCCGACGTTCACCCTGGTGCACCAGACTGGTCAGGTGACACCATTTGATTATTCCAAACGGGAAATCAGAATTATGAGATGACGTCGCCATTTCGCGCATTCCCATCCATCAAAAAACATGCAGCAATGATATGTAAACGAACAACCAACTGATGATGTCGTCTAGCCTGACGATGAAACGTTTGCAGCCAAATCAGCCAGCTCAGAGAACACCCGCATACCCTCAGGTCATAGATAACTCCGCATTTGCGCTACCAGGATCGGCTTTTGAATACACAGCGGCGGTCGCTCACAAACGATAACGACGGCCTTCAATAGCCTAAGCATGTGAGGCCACCGATCGCGCAGTAGGTCAGTGAGGGACTCATCAGAATTGACTCGGTGGCTAGTGGTAAGCAATTGCTTTGTGACTGCCGAGGCAGTTCAGTTTCCCGATTCAGCCGTTTCCCTTGTTACAGACATCATTCGGCTGCGTAACCACTTAGGGCTGTGCTCATTGACATTGAAACTTAAACTTCGGGTAGTGCGCCCAAAATAGCTAGGTTCGCAGCTACAGGTGAATTTACATAGACAGTGGGACGTGCATTTGCCTCGTCGTCCGTGTCTTAATCGAACACATACGCACAGATCTTGTCGATATGAGCAGCTGCAGTTCCGCCTCATTTTACGCTTCTTTGAGTGAAGCCCTGATCCGTTGCTCGGTGACCTTCATAACGTGGTCACCTTGGAAAGGTAGCTCGATGAAGATCGGCTTCTTCGGAATTGGTGGCACACGATCTCGCTTGGTCGCTTCAATGACACGCTTAATGAACTGCAACAAGTAACCGTTGGAATGTAGCGTATTTAAAAGTAAATACCTTTCTGCTTCTGTTGTGTCAGGTATGGAGATAATTTGGGCTCGATAGAAGAGTACGCGAACGAGAGAGCGTGTGTTGAATAGGGGAGAAACCCGTAAAATGCAGATAATGACCAGTCCATGTTGGCTTCCTGTACTCAGACCTTCTGATGGAACCATCTGGTCGCCGTATAATCAGTATATAGTTCGTAGCAGTAAGGTTTACTCCTTTGAAGCAGTCCAGGGAATATAACACCAGTGCAATATGACAAATAAAGAATAATGCAAATGGGCAAAAACCGGATTATTACAGTAAGAGATACTGAAAGTACTCTAAGTTTGAGTGCGTAGAAAGGAAGTTTTCTGGCATTTTGTAAAAGATTACTGACACACGTGGACAATGCCTAGTACTGGGACATAAACATGCCAAGATACGTGACCGTAGTGGAGCTGGGTATGTGATGCGCATGCCCAGCAAGGGTTGTGATATGCCTATGAAGGACTGCAACTAATCACTGCGAAGAAGAGAAAATATTACATATATGCATTCAGAAACAGGCATTACACCAGATCTTCCAGTCCACGTTAAATTGATGAGGAATACATACCTCTTAGCACAACATCATCAGCAGGTTAGGCGGGGCCTTTAAATCAACCGTGCCGTTGCCACTGGACATCGTTTTTACAATATCGCTATCAATACATTAGTTTTCTCGGAATATTTTAACATTGATATTTGTCAAGCTATTTCCGAGGTCACCGCCGCTGCCCTTCGCGTAATCTTTGAGGGAAATTCAAGATACTGCACGCGTGAAGATGGACGATCTCGATTAAAAATCTAGCTTGCAACGCTGACTTCAAATTATTATGTCCAAAACTGTTTAGTTGTCGCTCTTTTACACTGATCGTTTATTCAAGTGGTACTTCTACACAGTGTCCTTTTATCCAATCCTACAAATGTAGTTCTAGTAATGTAATCTTAGCTCACCCGTTGTCCATATTTTAAAGTGCTGAAAATGTACCCATCTGGATACACAAAGCTTACGTTGACTTGACATGACGATATTTGCACCCTATAAATGTGGTTTTTAAAGATAACGGAAATAGTGCTGTGGTCGCCCCCCCTGCAGAACACTACTGTCGGCACGGAGGACAGAGGATTTCTTACCATTCAACTAGGTGAAATGCTTAAGAATCGTAAAATAGCGACGTAATAGATTACAAATATTCCGGTGAACCCCATTTTCGGATAGCAAGTTCAGCATCAGTGACCCATCCAGGCATCCAAAGGCGTTCGAATAATCAAGGAAGAGTAGCCTTACAGATTTGCCTTCTTGGTTTAATACAGTGAAATGAAAAAGATATGCCCCTGCATCCAAAGTACAGCGATGAGGTCTATAAGCAAACTGGTAGATATCGTCCACAGAAGCGGCTGTACAAATCAGCGGAATTAATCTCCTTTCGACAAGTTTTAAAATAAAAGAGGTACGCGAAATCAGGCGATACTTTTGAGATCAACCTTTTGTTACTGGGGCTACGCTGGTCGTTCTACAAATATTTGGCATCATATCAATAGCAAGTCGTTCATTAAAATGATTTGTTAAAGGCAGTGTGAGAGAAGCAGCACGATCTTACTAGGTTATTAGTGAGAGAGCATTCGGACCAAAAGCTTAGCTTGCCTTTATCCTTTTGAGTTACTTGTGAACGTTGCTTTGATCGAAGGGGGCAGCTGAACTTGAACTAATAAAGGAGGGCTGCGGACGCTCTTACCACAAAGCTGTCTCAAAAGTCCCCATAGATCACGACAACCATAGCCGCCTTGAACTCTGTTGACATATAAGTGGTTTAGCCTGTTTATCTCGGCTTTAATTGCTGTGGTTAGATTTTTGACACGCATAGCATTCTTGCATTTGTAAGCCCATTCTTTCATTCTCCAATACCGCTTTAGTAGTGGCGATGTAAATCTATCTGCTATCAGGCGGAACGATTTTACAAGGAAAGACATCAAAGAAAAATTTGATGTAGCCTGTAAGATGGTCACATTGAAGCGACAGGTACTCTTCGTTAAAGACCGAGAAATCAGATAAAGGAAACATCGCTTGGAGCCACGTGATATTATTGCAGGAGCAAGTTCCCCGTCCTATGATTTTTTAAGGACGTCTGATCAGCATTAAAAATTAGATCTGCGGTATATGGCTGGACAATTTTTACCTTACAATGGTCTGAGCTGCTCAAAAGAGCATGTTTTGGATGGAAATCAAGTGTCGTTTACTTGTGTACCCCGCATATAACTGGACAGCTCGTCTGGTCGAAACAGTGACCAGGTCTACTAATCCAAGTGTCTTCAGAGAGCCTGTATTACTTATATTAAAGTCGCCAGCAGCAGTACAGGTGGCATAATAAATAAACGAATAATTTTACAAGAACCTGTTCGCTTTATCATTCCTAACAAGAAAATCGGAAGACGTAGATTATGAGATAATGTCGCAATTTCGTGCATTCTCATCCATCATAAAAACATGCAGCGAGGCAGTAGCATTGAAGAAAGTTGATCCTCCAGTAGCTTTAACGCTGACGCAGCTGTGTCCGAAGCAATATGGACGTTTTCAGCGATGGCTGATTGAGAGTAACTTCTGACCTTCGGTTACCACTGAATTAAAAAACAGCTTACAGAAATGTTTATGTGAATAGTACACGTGCCGAGTTGCACCAACATAAATTATAACGCCACCACTACGTAACGTGAGCTTTCCAGGAAGATCAGAGCTAATGGGAAATCAAACTTAACAGTTGTATAACCCCATTTTCCGCATCAGGATGACACCAAATGTCTCGTAACAGAATGACTCATGTATTTGCATACTCATTTCCTTGCATAATGGCACTAAGACCACTGCTTTTACCAAAAAGAGAGTATACAATATTGGAAAGTATCAGTTGGAGTTGCGCTTTGTCGACAGAACAATCACTAAGATTGGACTGCCAGCCAGCACGATG